AATTGTATTAGCCTCCCTTGGGAGAGCACAAAATCATTGACATAAAAATACATTAAAAAGGGGCGGGGAAAAGGGATTGGGATTTTAAACCATAAAATTATGAACAATGGATATCCCCGCCACTGGTTGAACTGGTTCCCGCTCACACTGCGAATAAACCTCGGGCTTTTACAGACTTTAACTTCACCCTTAAAATTCCCTTTGTCAGCGATCAACCTAATACCCAGATACGGTTAGCCCTTATGCGAAATAACATCAATGCTAGAGTGGTTAATCCCCGTCCATACACCATTTCTTAACTCATTAAATCTCGTAAGCCTGATCTTGGATGTATCCTAGCCCGATGTCCTTTAAAAAACAACATCTGCTCATCTTCTTACGTGGTTTATAAGATTCACTGCCAGATTTGTCATCAAGAATATGTTGGTTCCACTATTAGGGCGCTTCACTTTAGGGTGATTGAACATCTCGCTTCGGCTCGTAAACACAGCACCACCTCTGCGGTCGGCGCGCAATTTGGTGAATCTCACCCTGTCGTGAAAGACCCCGATATCTTGGTTTCCATCGTCAGAAGAGCGCCTAAAGATGAATTGCGCCTTCGTGTGTTGGAAGCACAATGTATCAATCGCATTAGGCCCGCTATAAACCGTAAGAATCAGCTTAGTGACGCTTTCCTTATTACCTAATTTTTTTTCTCAATACTTTCCAACACCTGTCAGCTTATTAGCACAGTATATAAGACCTGGCCTGCCTAATTCCTGTCTCAGTTGCTGATGTGTCGTTAATACGACGAAATATTCAACATTATTCTTGTGGATTGGTATATTCACTCTTTAGGTTATTTTAATACGTATTCTCCTTCATTATGAGAGTGAAAAATCAAGCGATATTTGTTCAACTAATAATGAATATTCTATGGACAGTATTGTTATAATTTTTATTCCTCAAAAACATTTCGTTCATATTCAATATAAATAAAAGTAATAGGCATAGATTTATATAGTAATAAACACTGATTTTACCAAATCAAATATATTCTATGATATGATGTCGTGCTGCTTATATTATAGGCTGTCTACCCAATTAAAAAATTCAATAGCTTAATTAAAACGATCAAAATCAGATGGAAGTAAAAAAAATTTCACTCAATTAACAACAAAAAAATCCTTAATTTATTAGCCAATGAATGATGTAAAAACATACAGCAAATATGTTCACTGTCTGTTAATTGACAAGGATTTTTTTCTTATTAAAATGTTTAATTGTAAAATTGTAAGTTGGCAACTGCGTCCAAAGTACTCGTAATTTGTCTCCGAGCATTCCTGAACGTTTATATACTTCAGAATCAGTACTATTATAGGGGGCAGACAATTGCTGCAACACAAACCATGTCATATCTATGATACTATACTGTAGGCCACTCAAATAGCCAGATTCAATATTACTGTGCGTTTTAATAATTATACTTTGAAAGACCATGCTGTACATAAACTGTGTATAGTCATAGAAATATTATTACAATTTTAGTCCATTAATTTTCATACTGTCCTACCAAGGCCTATTTAACAGATTTCGGCCTACTCCACAGTGTTCATCCACGCATAAGCACTGTAGCTTACTCGATACACCACTGAACTCTGAGGTGAAGTCTGGTATGCATATTCATTATTATCAGTTCACCTAACTGACCTAAAATTGCGCCCTCTATAATTTCTGCTTTCAGTGTATGGGGGTAAAATGCCTCCTGGGCCCATCTGGACTCGGACTTGGCCCAGAAAGCATATGCGTTACGCCAATGTTAAGGTTCTGTAGTAAAGTGGTGGTAGTAGTAGGATCCCCTCCCCTGAGCTCACGAGCTTTACGCAACTGGGTCCTATTTATTTTAATACGGTATGTAATAATTAGACTTTACTGGAAAATATATAGGAAACTTCACAGTTTTTAATATATGTCTACTGTCAAACATTATTCAGCATTAAAAGACCTTTCCAACGATACCAAACACGATAACTTTTGGTGAGTTTTATTTAACCTTTTGACATTTTTTGTCACGTGACTTTATTTATCGGCCTCCATCTCTGTAAATATGTATTATTAGGTAGGTGTAATAGAATTAAATAATCAGTGTATAATTCCTTTTCGATTGACACCAAACATGGCCATGTTTTATGTGGTGTGTCGGCCATCTTCAAAATTAAAAATGGCGGCCGATGACGTGGAAAAAATGGTACCAGCACACCAAAAATTGATAAAGTTAGCCAATAAAATTCATTTTGGCACAAAAATCTAGCTGGATTACATAGCAAACTGTACTACACGTCGTATGTATGGCTCGGTCGGTTTAACCATAGGGCATGGAGTTCAAATCGCATCTTGTATTTGATTAATTTTTTTTTATTTTAAAACATTTTAATGCTGTACAAGTGAACATTCTAATTATGTAAGCTCTTCGATTTTGTTGTCAAACAGCTCTAAAATATCTTAGAATGTTAATTTATACAAAAAAAATTAACAAAATTAAACACTGAGGCGCGATTAAAATTCACGACATTCAGTTCCTTACAACACAGCATTAACCAACCGTGCCATTTATAAGACATATTTTGTTTGTGGTAGTAATTAATGGCAATTATGAACCCGTACCGAAAACCCCAATATAATAACTTACTCGTGTATAATATTTTGTTTTAATAGTGTCTACAAAAATCCTCGTTTAAAAGGTGCATACCCGAGGCGTTAAACGCTGATAGATTAATTGATTAACACATCTTTTTTGTATGTGCGGCCGTTAGGGTCATATTCTACTGTCTGTATTATAATGCCCTCATCGCAGATTTCGAGATTACGAGAACTTTTTTTTGCACACAAACCCAAAAACAATCAAGCCAAGCGTGCACTATGTGATAAAATATTGAACTGTGGGGGGATAGGCAAATAACACTGGGATTTGCAGTGATGATTTCACGATTGACTTATAATACAATTTATCTTATAATTTATAAGATCCAAAAAATATATTATTGTAAGCCTGTTGTTATATATATTCAATAGGAATTTTTATTAAAATAGAGTGTAAATCCTATATGGTTTCTATAGTTAATTTAAATTGTTTTTAAATGCTATCAATGTACTTAGACGATTTTCTATAGTATATTAAAATAAATTTAACATGAATTCTTATTAGAAGAGTACGTCCTATAAAACCAGCTCTTCATGGAGGCACGATAAGGAAGAGACATTTATGTAAGAAGATATCACCAGCTTGTTTTTATCTTTGTTTTGATTGCAGTCGGAAGACCGATATTTTTGGGTAGATTTATCGGTGAAACGGGCTTGTCCGAGCGAAAAAGGCTCTTTTGCATTTATGACCGCAATAGAGAATGACTACAAAATTTAATCGTTCCCACCACCACCCCTTTACACCCCCACAACTCCAAATGTCGGTAGAAGTATGGCCTTTCTGGCACCCAGTCTTCACTTTGTCATATATAATGTGTAATTGTTACTTTTTTATGTTTTCATACTCGTTAAACTCAATTTGAGTTTTACTATATCTAATATAGGCAGATTTTAAATCATATATTATCACTCGCTCACTAAATATTATTTTAAATATAGAAATAAAATTGATTGGAGGAATCATGTTTAATTAATATACTTTGCTGTATATCTTATTAAAATTTTCTCTATTGCAAGCATACATGATACAACATGGCATGAATTACAATAGTAGCCAAGAAATACATTTTTCTAATGAAGCTTGGACCCTTTCTTAACCATCCCCACTCCTACACCTAAACAATACAATAATTAATTAAATAATCCAAAAAAATGGGTAGGTCGGTTTAATGGATTTTTTTTACCAATATTGTGATTATGCATAAAAAGTAGAAAATACACAAAAAATACAACAAATATATATATATATATATATATATATATATATATATATATATATATATATATATGTACATAGACAATGGACGAATCAAGTTAATTTATTCAAGCATTTAAATGAGACAAAAGGGCTAAGGCATATGCAATAAACAGTATAAAATATAAATGACAGGATAGGTCATTCCAGATGATGACATATAACAGCATATAATGACCTAATGGGGTTAAATTAAAATAAAACGGCTATAATGTATATATTCACTTGGTGTATTTTCTTTTGTTAATCAATAATAATAATAATAATTAATAAATTATTAATAATAATAATAATAATAATAGTAATAATAATAATAATAATATAAATATTTGACTTACAAAGCGCATAATACTAAATAAAAAATAACAAAATACTAACAGAAAATAACGAAATATATATTCGATTCGATTCGATTCGATTGGATTTATTCGGTGTAAACACCAAGGATAGCCCACGAAAGTCTAGACGAAGACTTATTTCCAGTGGGTCCTTCTGGCGGTGATTGGACAGTACACCGGAGACAATCCCCTCTTTTCTGAAGAGTGTACTGTGTTCTTTAACGTACACATGGGCCATAAATGCACACGGGACCAACGGCTTAAGCGTCTCATCCGAAAGACGGTGCGCTATGTAACTTGTATTTCAGCCCTCTATCTGAAACACAAGCAGAAGCAGTGATGGGAATTGAACCGGGGACCTAGAGATCACTACAGTTCAGCGCACACACAGTGGCTACCACCAGATTAGCCGACTGAGCTAAGCTGCTCTCTCGATAGGTTCTCAATTACTTCGGAGATGTGAACCTTTTCTATTTGTGGAGGAGGGGATGGGGGTGGGTAGGTGGCTTGCGTGCGAACTAATCGTACCCCTGGACACGGACCTGCATGTGCATGCTTTGGTTTACTTTGGGCACTCAAGACACCCATGAGTTACTTGTGTATTGTTGATTACCTACCGTATGTATTGAATACCAAGTAACGAAAGCACCACTTCTTTCTGTTCGGCAAATGCATGTATTCTTTGATGCTAAAGCTAAAAATAATATATAAAATATAATAACACAAACCCCTATGAAAACACCAAACTTGGTTGGCAGCGATGCATCGAACTGATCATTTATGTATTTTAAGTATGGTTCCTCGTAGCCCCAGAGAAATTCATGGACAGACACGGTCATCAGGACTTCAGCTTTAGAAAGCAGATGCAGTAAGCGGAGTATATTTTCATCAGAGGTGTTTCCATACCCTCTTGCCACTGATGCTGCCGTCTGCAATTATTATAAGAAATGTTAAATGTCGAGTAAACTTACACCAATAATATTAACATCGAATACAAAACCGCAACTAAGTTTGGCAGTTGATTATGATAAAGTACTGTCAGGGGTGTATCCAGGATTTTTCTGGGTGGGTCGTGATCATAATTTTTTGGACCTTTTCAACAGCAAGATATGATTAAAATTTCTATACAATTTGCTTGAAGCGGATGGCAGGCTCAGTTTCAGAATTGCTGGAATTGAGATAGATTACCGTACGTCACGCAATTGGCAAGGTACCTTTGGACTCATTGCTGGTACCTCAATAATGCTTTTTCATTTATGTCACTGTGGAAAGGCCCTATAAAAAATGTCTTTGGAAAAAATGTGGACCTTTGAATTTTTTTATATTTTTTTTTTGGAGGGGGTCTTACGACTTTCCCGACCGCCCCTAGCATACACCCATGATACTGTTGAAGTAATAATTTTAAACAGTTTGGTTATTGAAATTTTTTTAAATATGTTTTAATTAAAGCTTTTAATAATTTAGGCTTAATGTAAATATTTAATAGATTTCAATGTTTATTTTCACAATTCAAGAGAATACAATTTTTCATTACAGATCAAGACGTGGTGACACCCACCTTGATAAGAACCGTAATTTATTTAACTCCAACCATATTCAAAAACAATTTAGCCAAGCCAAACTTGGTTTACTTAATGCACAGTTAGTGAGAAATAAATCTATAGAGTTTGTTGACCATGTTTTGGAAAATTTCTTTGGCATTGTATGTGTTACTGCGACAACCGAGGCACTGTAGTGCGAGTTTTATGTTTGTATCCAATGGTGTACCGTCCTTTGACAAGTATCTTAGAAACTCTATACATAGTTTCAGGAACCGTTTGAAAATCAGCTCTAATTCAATCATTTTAGCCATTAAGCATTATGCTCTTTCCAATTCTAAAAAGGTATAATCAGTGGAACATTGTTGTATATTAAGATGATCTCCTGGTCTTGTTGTTTTTCTATTCAGTCTATTTTTCACTCTTGTCTTATATTTATATGTACTGTATTTGTATTTGTTTAACTGTTGTTCTTTTGCATGGACATGAAATTCCGAAATAAAAGATGAATGAATGAATGATTATATACATAAGAATATATTATTTTTACCTAAATATATATGATTACATAATCGTCTTCATATAGCACTGCAAAATGAAGTGTGCAAAAAAATATTTAAAAAATATCTGTCGCAATTTTTTCAACCCCAATTTGTATTATTCTTGTACTATTATTCTAGATGTACAGAGCTCTTTCGTTAACACCTGGGTCATAGCAGTTCTTTCAACAATTTTCAGACATCCTGACTTGAAATTATAATGCGGTTGAAAAGTAAGAAGGACCACACCCTCCTCTTTAAAAATATGTAGGGGGACGTGCCGTGCCCCCATCCCAATGATCTGCGCATGGGTAGAGGAAACAAAGATAATAAATAAATCAAGAAGGAGGAAGCCTGATAAAAATATTAAAAGGGATAAAGGAAGAAGGGGAAAATACATCGGGATGAGAAAATAATGAGAATGGAGAGTGACAGTAGGGAAGCAGGGATCATGAAAATGGTAAACGAAAACATGTGGACATTGATAAAAATGTATGCAGAGACCATTCACTCCACCCAGGACAGTACTATGATAAAACTAGTTCCCGTCCTGGTGCAGACGGTTCAATAGTACCCCTCCCCTCCTAAATTGTATAAGAAAAATAATTGTATTATTGTCGACATGAATTATTGGCAAGATTTTAAAGGTATGAGAGTGCAATTTCTGGGCACCCAGAGGTCCATATTCTCAAACCTACTCTCGTGGACATATGGGCGCAGATCAAGGGGCGGGGACACGTTCACCCTCCCCACACACAAAAATATACACATATTTTTAAGGGGTGGGATGATGTCGACAACAAATTATTCTCAATTCTGTTTTCTCTTTAGACTTTTATTCAAACGTTGTTCAAAAACTATAATGAAATACTATAACAATTAATAACAACAATAATACCGTACATAACAGATAATTCATTAAACGCGTATACCGCCCTCTGGAGGCTCTATTCATTAAGCGTGTATACCGCCCCTGGACTCTCTATCGCCTCCTGTTTAAATCCCTTACTGGGATATTAGGAGGATAACCAACCAAGTAAGTAAGTAAGTACCGTAACTCAAGTTATAATTTCAGCCAAAGATCATATAATAAAAATAGCGTTCTCCGCGGTTTGTGTGTAACAAATAGAAGCGTGCAATTCGTGTAGAAAACAATAAAAAAAAGTAATTGTAATTAAAAATGGGGTTTTTAGTTGTTACTATGGCGATTGTTACAGAATTTGCACTGTCCTCCTTTACCGCCCTACTGGCACCAAATAGCAAATATAGGTCTAAAAGAGGAACATAATAAAGGTCGGTTGGACGTCTTCTCTTATGCCTCCACGTTTTTCCATACAGACCGGTGACAGCGTTGCTCCAATAGGGTGATTCCCACACGGTGGTACATTTTCTTGACATCTCCAAATAGTGCTACTCTACCCTTTCGGTATCCCAGTAGTACAACAATTAATTTATTATTTAGGTCTGGTCCCTTGGCCCAGTAGTTGTTAAGAATGTGTGCCTGTCTCTTATACACATCTAGATGTGTATAAGAGACAGGCGTGTATACCGCCCCTGGACTCTCTATCGCCTCCTGTTTAAATCCCTTACTGGGATATTAGGAGGATAACCAACCAAGTAAGTAAGTAAGTACCGTAACTCAAGTTATAATTTCAGCCAAAGATCATATAATAAAAATAGCGTTCTCCGCGGTTTGTGTGTAACAAATAGAAGCGTGCAATTCGTGTAGAAAACAATAAAAAAAGTAATTGTAATTAAAAATGGGGTTTTTAGTTGTTACTATGGCGATTGTTACAGAATTTCAGACACAAGTCTCTTCAATAATAAAATGTACATGTTCTTTAAGTCACTCCAAAGTCGTAGCTTCTACTGTTCATCGACAGGAATAAGCAAGATTGGCTTTTGCGCTGCCCGTTTTACCTGACTGATCACTCCGGTCCCCGTTACAGCTCTTATGTTATGCTCAGATTTCTGGTCAAACCTCTACTATCAGAAAACGTTCCAAACACTATGCCAGTTTTCCACTTCCCTCACTTTACTCCTTCTTCCTTTATCACCGCGACGTCGCGGACATTCAAGTTCCTTTGCTCGGTGTGCCACTTTTGGTGTACAACCAATGTACGGAAGTAGCTTTGAGACCATTTCTCCCAAAAATAGTTCAATTAGCCTTTGTAGAAGTTTCCATCTCCTTGCGTGGCCTCCACCATCGCATCACAGACCACCGGGTGCCGTTTTAGTTGATCGACCCAACAAGGTATCATTGGGACAAAGGTACGACCCATCTCTTGGGTAGGTAGGATGTCGTTTTATTGGTCGACTGTTGATCACATCCGCAACCTATATCAATCCAGTTTTTTCTTCAAACGTCAAAATGTGTTTCCCAATCACGTGAAAGAGTGATTTCTTCACTCTTCGAATTAGTGATTCCGTAACCCTATTCTGCCACGGCAATTCTGGGGCACTAAAGGTCCATTTCACTCTATGCAATACTCCAAACTCTTTCAGGTTCTCACAAGCTACAACAATCTGCGAGCCCCAATCTGAAAACATTTCGCGGGGATATCTTCTGATTGCAGTGAATCTGTGGGAGACTTTCAGAGAAACGCATCAGTGTTGTAGTCGGTAGCTAGGTCAAGATAAACTCCTCTGGTCACCGAACCACCGAATATCACCCCATATGTTTTCCCGTGTACCCGTTTCTGTACTTCCTCTCTGATACTGAAGGGCCCGAAAAGGTTACAGCCGACATACGTCCAACTATATACATGAGTCTCTGAAACAACAGGCGCGTATCCTCCAATTTTTTTTTTTGGCTAGTCGCACGCTTAGCACTGAAGCACTCAACTCTAACCGAACTATGCTGGTTATCTGGATAGGTGCAACTCTGTTTTTGCTGGCTACCAGTACCGACGCGTAACTACCATCTTCACATAGGTATCTTGCATATGCAACTGTGCCCATCGCCACCTCAATAATAATAATATGTTACATTTATATAGTGCTTAATGCCAACAAGGCCTCTAAGCGCTTCACATTACTACCCCCGGTCATTGGATTAGACGCCTATGGAACTGTTCCATAAAGTTGCAGCAGCTACATCAGCGCATTTTGGCATTTAACCCTACCAGGCACCCATTTATACTCCTTGGTGGAGAGAAGCAATGTAGATAAAGTGCCTTGCCCAAGGACACAAGCGAAATGAACAGCGAGGGGATTGAAACCCCGACCTCGAGGTTTGGAAACCAAACCGTTCCCACTACGCCAAACCACTTCTACAGATGCGTCCGGGAACATAATAAAGGTCGGTTGGACGTCTTCTCTTATGCCTCCACGTTTTTCCATACAGACCGGTGACAGCGTTGCTCCAATAGGGTGATTCCCACACGGTGGTACATTTTCTTGACATCTCCAAATAGTGCTACTCTACCCTTTCGGTATCCCAGTAGTACAACAATTAATTTATTATTTAGGTCTGGTCCCTTGGCCCAGTAGTTGTTAAGAATGTGTGCCTTATAGCTCGCACTGCTGTTAAACACAATTCGTAGTGGTGCGCTTACACTGTCTGGTTTTGACACAGCATGATGAGCTATATAGTGCATTGGCACGGTATAATTCGCCATTTCCTCTTCAGAGATCGCCCTTACCACGCCTCTAATTATCATGTCTTCTATTTGTTGATTGTACGCCTTTTCCCTTTTGGAATCTTTAACCAGTCTATCTTCTCTTCTCTAGTGACTCTAACCTTGCCATGGCTACCATTCTGTTATCAGGTAGCTCTTTGGAGTCCCTTATCCAAGGGTATTTTGCAATCCACCGACCGTCATTGTAGCTCAATCCCTCCTCTACCATATT